AAAAAAAAAAAAAAAAAAAAGAGAGATAAGCAGTCAAAATTACACCAGTGGCTCAAAGACGAGCGAAGGTCACACTAGGTTTATTTTTTTTTTCAAAGTATCTAGATGATAATGATTTTCTACCCCCTATTTCATTTTTTTTTTTAAACCGCCTTGTCAAAATGGAAGATGTCTTGATAATTCTATTTTTTTTTTGACATGTTATTGTGAGATAGGATGGGAAGGACAGTTTTGCATTTTTTTTTTTGGAGGTGAGTAAAACCAAGTTAACTCAAACTGAATGCTTTTTTTTTTTTTATGCTAACAAGCCATAAAAAGCGAACGGTATAGTCGTCAAATTTCTCACTTGTTTCCTGAAACTGAGATGATTGATTACATAGAAACGTCTTCTTTTTGGACAGCGCGAGATAAGGAACAACTGAGCACTTTCGTAAGGAATGAAAATGATTCTGTCACTCTCTGTCACGCTCAGAGTGAACAAAACAGTCTGAAATACATGTTAGCCCGCCAAATCTCCATTTAAGCCCGTAAAATGCTCTACATTTTTTTTTTAAGTGATAATATATGTAAAGGCTACAACGACTCAATTATCAGAGCAGCTAAAATTACTTCGCAGCACCAGAGTAACGACTGTGTAATATTTTTTTTTTTTTTATTATTAGATAGGAAAATTTATTCAACCTCAGGAGGTGAAGTTTTTTTTTTAAAAATGGATCAGGAGGCAGAAATGGATATCAAGGTATTTTTTTTTTTTTTCGATTTTTCATTTTTCTTGACGTGGAAACACAAAAAGATTATCACATGTGTGAGAGGCTAGTAAGTCCAGAACAGTGGCAGTTCAAATTGGATTTTTTTTTTCGATTCAGTGTATGCAGAGTTTTTTTTCCATTTTTCATTTGTTTTTTTTTTTTAATTTTATCACCCGTGCGAGTTTACTTCACAATTTCTCTTTTTTTTTTTTACCCCTAGTTGAAGTAGTTTTCCAATAATAGTTATTATGCTTTTTTTTTTAAAAACACATTGCATGGAGTTGGCTTGTCAGCTCTACGATACAGTGCAATTTAATTTACATGTTCACTACAACCACTTGATTTTTTTTTTATTTTTTTTTTTCCAGATTCCTTCCAAAGGCGCTGAATCTATCTCGGCCCTTGCTGTGGCGATCGGTTGTGGAGTGGCAGCGGCAATTGTTGGAACAGCAACTGTAGCCTTTATCGCACGCAAAATACTGGGTAAAAAATCCACAAATTATGAACTTTTTTTTTTGCCTATCAGACACAAGACGTAACGGGAACTTTGGACCTTTTTTTTTTTTTTTCATGTAAACATCAGTATATATATCGTTCAGTGAAGATATTGTTTACAAAAGTGAACGATTCCTCTCTACTGAAAACAAAAGATATAGCACTTTTTTTTTTTAGCTGCAGTTCAGCTCAATCTAATACGCTGATCTAAAGCGATTTTTTTTTTGTACGTTTTCCACTCCAATTTTACTGAATTTTATTTTGCTGTTTTTTTTTTACTTTAAGGGAGAGTAACTAAAATTATTGAATCTTGTCCATTTTTTTTTTTATTCAATTCATATGCTTTTGGAAATCAGTTCAGGTTCTTTTTTTTTTTTTTGTATTCAACTTCGCTCTATTGTTTTTTTTTTTTTTTTTTTGTTTTTTTTTTTGACCTAAAAAGCATAAAGTGTACATGTTACGGAACTGTATTTTTTTTTTTAGGAATTATCTTAAATTTGGCCATAACTGACGTTTGTAGAATAGTTACAATGTGATACAGCTCTAAGGTTATCACTATATTAGTGTCTGACATTTTTTTTTTGTCGCCTAATTCCAAATTCAAAGCATATTTTACCACCGTACTTTTTTTTTTGTGCAGCACAATGATTACTTTTTTGACAAGGTGCCAAGATACAGTGAACCACTGACAAGTTTAATTTCTTTGAGTTTCTAGATAAGCATACTTTTTTTTTTTAAATATTTTGCTTCCCCAATGATTTTGAATATATGTTTTCTTTTTTTTTTTACAAGATTGAAAGGAATATTATCCTTCTTTTCTATCTATTTTTTTTTTTTTGTAACTGTCGTAAAAAATCCTTCTCTTGAAATTGCTCAGCTTTTTTTTTTTAAAACTCGAACTTATCGCGGGATACTGTTGGTTGTCATGGATTTTTTTTTTCAAATACATTCTTTACAACGAATAAAATTGAATTGTTTGGAAGGTGCAATCTGTTTAAATCGATTGTATCCATTATATTCAGTTACACTGGTTTTTTTTTTTAGATACGGTAAATCATTCCACAATTATGATAGTAGCAATGATTTTTTTTTTATTTGATTCTATTTAAGAAACTAGAAAGATATTTGATAAAATTTTTTTTTTGAAAAGTAGGACTATTACTATGTAAATAAAGAAAAATGTGTTTTTTTTTTTAAGTATTTATTAAATAAAAAGAAAATAACCAAAGCTCTCCCTTTTTTTTTTAAATTAAAATTTAGTTGATAGCTTATAGTTTCCATGACAACTTTTTTTTTTCAGAAAGCTCGCAGTTCACGTAGGTTACTACGATTTTTTACTTTTTTTTTTAATGACCTTGTCTCTACGGTTGTCTGGCCTCAATCATTGAAGCTATCAATTTTAAAGGAAAAAAACTTGAAAAATGGTTTTCATAATAACTTTTTTTTTTTTGAGCGCGTGGGCCACACTGGCGAATTGGCCCGAGGTCGTGGTTTTTTTTTTTCGTGTTGAGGTCCGTACAGAAACGGCCTCGGGCCAATATTTTTTTTTTTTGCTTGAGAAAGAGAGGTTAGTTAACAGTGTATTATATATCATTTTTTTTTTACTTATCTATTTTTTAATTTTTCGGCTTTCACGAACAAAAATACAGGGTCTATGACCGTTTTCGTGGAAACAGTCCTGTTACAAAATCTCGATTTTTTTTTTACCTATAAGAACGCTCGGATTTACCCCAAGACTCCCTTGCCATATAATAATAACACACTTGTAGCATAAATTTCATGAAACTGATCTTTGTTTTTTTTTTTTCCTAGTGTAAACTAGACCTTCAAATCTAACCATATTTTCATTTTTTTTTTTGAATCCAATTTGGACAAAAGGTGCTGGACTATAACTCATCATTTTTTTTTTGAAAATTGCTCTAACTAGGATAATCTGTCTTCCTAATATTTTTTTTTTTTTAATTTCACAAATGTCGACTTTAGCCTGCAAATCAAGTAGCATTTTTTTTTTGTAGTCGTGCGTGTGAAATGAACGCAAACCTTATATGATTCTTTTTTTTTTATTAATTTTTTTCAACCTGTGCACTTTTGTTTGTGCAGAGGACCCGGATGGATGGAGGTCGATACGATAACAGATACAAGATAACGAGTTTCATCATTTTGAAGGCGGGAGCCTGGAATATTCAGAAACACTTTCGGTTTGGGTTTTTTTTTTTGAAGAGGAAGATATCCGGTCAATTGACTCTTCTGATACCTTTTTTTTTTTAAAAATGTTAGCGATAAGGCTTTATGGCGTGCATGCAATTTCCTGCACCAAAAGTGACTGCTCGAGTATAGTATCACTTCATTGTACAATCTTTTTTTTTTTAAATAAAAATAAAAATTAAAAAAGCCGATTATGAATTATCTAGAAGTTTAGACATACATTAAAATTTTACATATGAAAGCATTATGTGTTTATGCATGCAGAGCACGCACGAAATTTTTCATGGATGCACCAACAGAAGAAGATTTTTTTTTTTCTTTGAGTTAATATCATAACAAGGATAACGGTAATTTTTTTGTTTTAACTCTGCAAACGAGATTCACGCCTTTTCGTGGTTGTTATTTTACTTTTTTTTTTATAATCAAACATTATGCGTAGGAAAAGCAGATTTCTAAACGTTTTTTTTTTCTAGATCCTTCCTTTTTTCTGAGACAAGTAACAGATAGCAAAATGTTAGATAATAATTTTCATATGCATTTGTTTTTCTGTCAAGTTCAAAATTTTTTTTTTAAAAATAAGCAAAATTGTAGATAGATTTAGAGAAAGTAGAATTTTTTTTTTTGGCCATGTTAAGCAAATAAATTAAGTATATAGATGGGTTAGTAATTCAATTTGGGCCCTCCTCTTACATGTTAAGAATTAGCTTTTTATCGTTTTTTTTTTTCAGATTCGAACTTTTGAAAACGAATTTGTCTTTTAAGGCCTTTTTTTTTTATTTTGATAATGCAAACGCAAATTGTAAATAAAATTAGTGGTTTTTTTTTTAATAATGTGTGAGCATTTGAGTGGTTTTTCATCATATCATATTTTTTTTTTGTAATATTTGGGACGGGCAGGCGATTTTACTTCGCTTTTAATTTTTTTTTTGTTCTTCGCTATTTTGCGACTCCATCGCTGATATTGCTACCAACTTTAAATCCACTCAACGCAATTTTACACTTGCGCAAGATCAGGTGGGTTTTTTTTTTTGGCAAGCTGGGCCCATCTTGACCGCTCGGGTAGCCAATCAGTTTTTTTTTTTTACTTCATATCACCCACGGCCGCTGCCAGCCGTATAGTAATTTTTTTTTTGATATTACATTTACAGCATAGACTTATTGGTTAAATTGTTTTTTTTTTTTTTGATCTATTACTTGCTTTAAATACGACACTTGTTAACTGGTTTTTTTTTTTATTAAAAATTAAATTGCGTTTGCCTGTAAAATGATGTAGACTTTTTTTTTTAATGTTCATAAAGCCAAATTAGTAAATGCACTTTCGGTGAAAGGCATAAGCATCTAGCATAAAGTGAAGTGTAGCGAAATATGACACATAAATTTTTTTTTTAGAGATGTATCTTCCAACAAGTTTCGATGATGCAAAATGACGCACTCTACTTTTTAATTTGATTGAGTTGCGCCAACAGAGACAAAACAGACTTTTTTTTTTTAGCAGCAACAAACATTTCCAGTTCACACTCGAGAGTATAGTTTTTTTTTTTTTTCACCCTTAATCAAAACTGTGATAATCTGTTTGATTCATTTTTTTTTTAATGTTTTCGTTTGAGATCGAATATTGTCGAAGAAACAATATTTTTTTTTTAACCCCTTGATTGTAAATACAACCTAGTCAACTTTTCAATATTTTTTTTTTTCGTGATTTAAAAACAAAATGTTTTCCTAAGCTAGCGTCTGTTTTTTTTTTCTGATTAAAAGACGGCTTCTGTTAAATCATTTAGTAGAATTTTTTTTTTTTAGTCAATTTCCTTCATTAAAATAAAGGAAAAATTGATATAATTTTTTTTTTGTTTATTTTGTCAATTGAAAATCCCAGAAGAAGATAAACATTTTTTTTTTTAGTGCACAATGAATTCAGGAGTTAACAGCTTGAAAACTTCTTTTTTTTTTTATCCTCTTCAGGAGAGACACAAGCAAAAACAAAAAAAAAAATTTTTTTTTTGCCGTTTTCTCAAATACAATTGCCGTTTTCTCAAATACAATTAAGTAATGTTGTGAGTAGCTATATTTGAATTTTTATCAATCAGGCAATGAATTTTCTAATTGCTTTTTCAATTTTTTTTTTTGCTTTTGGCGAACAAAAGGGTTAAAATCGAACTGAAATAGCTTTAATACGAGCCGTAGGCGTATATTTAAGGATAAAAATCGAATGAACATTTTTTTTTTTAAATTTTTAGATATTAAGTACTGATTTAGTTGTTTCCTGTTTTTTTTTTTTAATAAGCCAATTGAGATCGAATATTGTGGCGGCAGTCGTTTTTTTTTTTTTTTATCGGGTCCATGTATATATGGCCAAACGTGCGAACGCAAAAAGTTCCATTAGGAAAAATATTGAAAATCCTTTGCCACGATTAACTAATTTTTTTTTTTTAGGGTGCACTCAACGGATTAATCGAAATGCAAATCGTGCTTTTTTTTTTTTTGTTTCTTAATAAAAACAGAGGAATTTCAGTTGGCACTTCGTTTTTTTTTTAAAGAAAGCTTCTCTCTTGGGCGTGACAAGAAATATTCAATTTCTACTAGAACGTAGGGAGGAACACAAGTTCATTCTCACAATTTGATCGCTTTTTTTTTTAACTCGATGCAAAGATGAACGCGATAAATACATCTTTAAGCTTTTTTTTTTTTGAGAACATGACCAATGCTCAGATTGTCTGCCCAGTTACTGGCGATGAAACAGTGTCAAAAGCCGTGTTGACGACATTGTATTGTGTCATATTTTTTTTTTCTTTGGTGGGAAATAGTCTGATAATTCTGATCGTCTACCGGAACCCTCGTATGT